CGATTGCCCTGGCCCTGTTCCTGTCACTTGTCTACTCCGATTATTCGGTTACTCGAAACTTTTCTTTTTCCCCATTCGCGACAGTTTGTCGTTTATTGAACCTTTGCCATGAAAAAATAAGTGAAAAACGGTACAGGAGTGCTGCAAAAGTGTTAAAATATCTAATCGCTTTATCTTGTTTTACAAGCGTTGAAGTGTCAAAAACATTCATAGTTAATTGAAAGAATAAGTAATAGAGCAACAAAATTGAAAATTTTACCAAATTAAGACTGGCATTCATTTGAAGAAAAAAAATGGCAAGTGAATAAATTGAGTGCATATTCCAAAAAAATACATTCAACTTTATTCCACTCGACATTAAAATCGCGCTTGGACTTTTGAGTGGCACTTGATAAATAAATTACTATCACTTTGAAGAGATATTAAAAATAAATCGTACAGATTACCATTCATACAAACATCGTTTTTGATTCATTGTGCTTAGCACATTTAACTGGTTTGCATTCAAAAACCATTCATATTGAATAAATGACTATTCCGTATTTGAGTAAGCTTTTCATTCCATATCCATATTGTAATTAAAACTAGCAAATAGTTTCCTGAATTGATTTTGATTCGCTTGATTATTTGTCGAACGGTTAAATTATTTTCATTAATTTTTCATGTTGAATTAAGTTTATGGCAAACCAAAAGGTCAAGCTCTTGTGGCTAAAATTTTGAACTTAAAGTTCACAATAGACAGAAAAGCCCATTCTAATTAGAATGGGCAACCAACTAAAACTATGATAGTAGTGCGTTTTTTATTTAACCCGAAAAATCGCGTAGGGAAGATTGGATTAACCCACCAGAATATTCTGAATTTGAAGTGACATTAACTCGAAACCTGATAAAAATTCGTCCTACTTGACTGTCACATTGAAAAATCCTAGCCAAGCATCCTGCATCGACCATAGAAAATTTATGTAGCGAAACTTTTTTCAACATTTTCTCCTCCACTTTCTTTTTAACCTCCCTCGTCGGCACTTGGAATTTAGGCCAAAACACTCTTGAAGCTTGCAACATGGCGCAGATGTGGGTTGTAAGTTTACAATTTTCGAGAAATGCAGAGTCGTGTAAAATTAACGAAATGTGACATAACTGATTTTGGTTGCTAACTTTTTTTTTAAGGAACAAAGTTTCTGCAAGCTTTGTATCAGTTTCTTACCACCAAAGATTTTTTTTCCAAAAAATTTATTTTTAAAGAAAAATCTTATTAATCTCCTAGTACGCATGGATAAATGTTCTTTCTATAAACTTTAAAGTAAGGCTACATTCGACAGTTAATATCCTGACTAGTTCCTTCCTCTCATGATATTTTTGACATAATTGACGCAAAGTGCAGGTTCATAATTAATATTAAAATTAAATCGGAACAAAGCGTATGCATAAATGATTCGCCGTACAGTTGCCGTCAGTTGCCGTAAACCTAATTTAAATAATTTCCATTACGGGCATAGTTTGCCGTAGACTGTGCCTTTTCGCACTGCTCTGTGAAAGCCCATACTTGCATATAAAACATGAAATTAATGCTTAATTAAGCAAGTTTTCATCTCCGCACATACATTATGTGTGTGTATGTATCTTAACTCGATTATTTCTCATAAGAAGAGGGCACTAAGAAATTTTCCTCGCCATAAACTTAAATTTTGATTTTCATAATTTATACGCAAGCTCAGCCTGAGGGTATGCTACAATTTGCGCAGCGTTTTCCCAGGGTTGCTTTACCTTAGAGTTGCCATCTTGACGTTGCATGCTCGCATTTGCTTTATGGCGGCCAAATGGAGTTTATGACCCAAAGCTGTGTAAAGTTTTTATATGGGGAAAAGTGCAGGTTTGACATCGGCACAAAAGTTTTTATCGCAATAAAAGTTGACAATTGCAAAAGCAGAGGGGTCGAACGTCAGGTGAAGTATCTTTATTGTAGTTTTTGCAAAATTGCACCTGAGACTTTTTGTATAAATATATAATTGTAGTATGGAGTTTTCTTTGGTAATTAACCCTTTTTCCTTATTTTCTATAGAGATCTGTGAAGCCTTGAATAAATATTATTTGCACAACTTTTCTGTTTTCCTTAGATCCCTTTTGTTTTTGCTAGCTTAATTGCAAATTTCCATTCTCCTCCCTGCATGCAACTTTTCATTTTTCATGCGGTGCATAAATTTCATGGCTTTTCCCTTTTACCGCATTTTTCTTGTTCGTGTATGTGGCGAAATGTCAAAGCCTTCTACCCTTTGACCTCACCAGCCCTCGTCCTTTGGGGAGCTATTCCAATGCAAAAAGGACTGCATACATTTTTCGGCAAAACAATGCGCTTGGAAATTTCTAAAACAAACACACACGTTGGTCCCCTCTCTTTCTATTTGGCTATGACCCTCTCTTTCACTGCTACCACGTCAAATCGTGCGTAGTTATTCAGAAAGGGTTCCAAAACTCATTTTGGTTTCTTTGGTCTTTTTGGGGTGAGATAAGGAGCATTCTAATTGTTATGAGCGTTTTCCTGTTGGACTTGGCGCGAGTCCTTAGCAGAAGGAATAAAGAAACCAACAACCCAACCCTTAGATTCTCATTTCTCTGCACTCTATGCACTCTCTCCTTTTCAGGGTCTCTCAAATTTCTCCAGCTCTCTCAATTTAAGGGCGCATGCTCAAAAAGCGGTTCGAATTTCACTTGTTTCTGGTTTTTGAATTTCACGTTCCACAAATGCCTCTTTCCCTCTTTATCACTCTTTCTCCTCTCTCCCTCTCTCTTTTTCCCCTCGAATAACCTCATGTGTATTGGCGTAGCATTTTAAATGAATGAAAAATATTGTCGTAAATTTCTTGTTCACTTGTGCTGCCTTTTGGCTGGTGCAATCCTTAAGTGTTTTACATAGCTACGTTTTCCGCTTTTCCCCCATTCCCCTTTATCTGACCCATGTGTTCATCCTACAATTTTCCTTACACTTCACTTATAAATTAACACAAGGATACAAGGATCACATGGAGAGCCTAAAAATTATGGTGCATGAAATATTATATTTCTTGGTTAAACGCTTGAAATACTGAACAAAGTGGCAGAACGAAGCATAATAGTGATAATTATCAAGAATTTCATAAGTGGTTTGATTGATATTTTAAGCAAGCGCAGAGTTCCATTTTGAGTTAATTTATTATGGGACTTGATTTTTAACCTCACAATATGCGATTTTTTATAGTTGGCATTACCGATGAATTTTCAAGAGCTTATCGATTTTCCATGACTATTATAACAACAACTATTTAACAATAATCCCGCTTGATTATTTTACTTTAAAAATTCACGATTGCGAAGACATGACACGACCAATCCACTGCTTTTAACAAATACATGATTAATCAGTTTTTCAAAAGCTGAGTGCAGGACAATCAAAGGACATTTTCCAGCGAGGAGTGAAGGGCTGCGATAATGTGTGAAAGCAAACAGTGTAAATGAAAATCACTCAAACAAAGAGCACAAGTGATAGCGAATGAGAGACAGTTGCAGTTGCAACATTTATGGAAACTGTTAATTGACTGACAGTTGAACATTGGAAAAAGGGTTGGAGAGTTGGGGTCACCAATCACAGTCCCACATCCCATCCACCCACACAGTGCGGAAAAACTGCAGGGGAAAATGTTTGCTTTTTTTTAAGCCCTTCGAGGATTTAAATGAAACAAGTGTGGGTGTGAGTGGGAACAGTGAATTTATTTCAACATTTCATGAACTGGTACTGGTTAGAAAAGCAACTTGGACATTGGGAGGAAAAGCTGTCAGCTGTCTGAACTTTTCATTCGACTCGTGTCAAAAGTTGGTCGCAAAAGTGGGATGGGGAAATGTGGTTTTTTGGTTTTCCGGGATCGAGGAGCACCGGTAATCCTAACTTGCTCAGTTGATGCCTGAATGGATTCTGGGTTGCTGTGGCTACAATATTTGCTTATTGAGCCACGCTTGAAATGAGACTCAAAGTACAGTGGTTGGTAAAAAAAAAATGAAAAACATGACACTTTTTCCCAATAGAGAAGTAAGTGAAAATACACAAGGAAAATGTGTGACCAAAATTGTCAATTAAAAGTTTTTGTTCAAAATATCTTTTTTGAGTCATTCACCCCTTATGAAAGTATCAAAAACTTTCCGATTATTATTATATGCTTTTTATGTTTTTAAATTGATTTAAAAATAAATATATTTTATAAACAAAATTTTGTTCAAACAAATAAAATTTAAGTTTTTCCGCTGTGTAAGAAACCTTTTCTTTTGTATCGAACGTAATTGCTTGTCTTGTCAACCAAATATTTGAAAAGCAATTTGCAATTTCATCGCAACAAAAGATGCTGCAAACGAAAACACTGAGTGAATAAAAATGGACAGAGAAATAGAAGGAAAGACAAAGACAGTCAGCAGTTTTCCTTGGATTTGCGTATAATTGCCTGAATTGAGTTTTCATGCACGTGTCGCCATGGTCAATTAAAAAGAGATATTTTATATTAACTTTTCGTTAAATTGGACTGACATTTCAAGCTCTAAACTAAACTAAACTTGAAAGAGTGCATTGACATTCAAGATTTAATCTCTGTATTGTCCGTCAACCCTGCGGCGAATTCAATTAGTCCAGTTTGTCCATCATTAGGGCTTCTGCTTACTTTTCCTAATATTCTTCCCCGAATTTCCATAATGGGATTAATGGGCGGGTATTATTATGCAGACGCATTTATTTTTCGAGTACCCCAACGCACATAATTATGCTTAAACAGCTGAACCATTTTGTGTGCTAATGTGAAAGATTAAATAGGTTGTGTGGTGCGTTTAATAAATCCCTAAACAAATACTGTGAACACTCGCTAATGGCTCTCGGATTCTGAGTATTGAAACTGATTATTTCTGTTGTGGGGTTTTTTTTCGAAAATGTTTAAAAGGATTTAAGAATATGTGTATTAAGATTTTTACTATATTTTATTTTCACTTACCATTATGTCCCATATTGGTGATGATGACCCAGAAATCGATGGTCTTCTCTGGACCCAACTCCTCGTAGTCCCACTTCTTCTTGACGCGCACAGCTCCATTGGTTTCCACCGTCACCCAGGGATTGTCATCCCGGATCTTGAAGGTCTCCTTATCGGTTTCCTTTTCCAATTGGAACACCGATTTTCCCTCAGTATCGCCGTCAGCTTCGGTGAATTCAATCCTCTTGGTGGGTCGAACAGCTCGTGTGACCCTTCTTTTCTCTCGGTGATGTGAGTGATTGTTCACCTCATCGTGTTCCAAGTGTTGCATTATAAACGATACTGGTTCGGCAGCTAAAAACTCCAATAAAACCTTTGCCGGCTTGGCGCTCAATAGACTGGGATACCTTAAGTCATGAGCTATCACCTCGATAAGAAGTTCATTCGAAGTGGGTTCACCGGCCAGCATTATTTCCCCAGTTTGGGGGACAATAATCACAACATTGCTGGGGGACTTCAAGCGATAGGCGATTTTATCCCCATCAGCATCGGTGGCCTCCACTTTTCCCATGATCGCAAATCGCTGATAGGTAACACTACTATTGCTCTCGATATTCGCAGACTTCTGACCAGCGATGGCGAATTTGTAATCCAGGGACTTGAAAATCGGTCTGTTGTCGTTTTCATCGAGAACGGTGATCTGGATTTTGGAAACTGTCTTGTCCAAACCATCCACATCGGAGGCTTCCACGGAGAGATCATAGTGAGCTCGTTCCTCGCGATCCAAAGGACGATTGGTGACCAGCCAAACACCGGACTCATCATCACCATTAATTACCAATGACTTGGCACTTATTTGAATGTTCTTATTGGCCTTGCGTTCCTGGAGGGCAAAGGCATCATCAACGTTGCCATCGATGATGGTGTACCTGACCTTCTTGGGCGTGGCGAGCTCCTCTTCCAGGATGGATCCACTGAAGGCCTGCATTAGGGGAACTCCTCTCACTCTGGTTCCCGCTGGCTGGTTTTCCCTTACTTCACCACTGGCATCAAGTAGTGAACCCGAGAACCTCAGCATATCGTTGCGGTGCATCACGAACAACTGAAGATTGTGGGTGTTGGTGACATTGGGCGTTTGTTCAACCACCACCAGTTGAACTGGACGATTTACCAGCGGAGAAATGTCCGCCGTGGTCATCACCACACCGTCTTCAAGTACCGTGAAGTACTTGGAGTAGTCGCTATCCAACATGTGGTAGGCAGCTGCGCCGGAATGCGAGCTGCCATTTATCTTGAGAGGATGGGTTTTGAACTTCTTGATGCTGAACCCGGGATAGGTATCGTGTGGCAGGACCAAGGACATTTCACTGTGATGCGATGGCGATTTTTCCACATCGCCAGGACTGCCAGCCAACATGCGAGCCGCATTCTCCGCCGACAAACCAGCGAATGTGGTCTCCTCTATGGCCAAAATGAACGGGAGGCATATCAAAAGTATCGCGCAGGTGTAGAGATTCAGTTTTGTGGTTATATAACGTTGCCTGAGCTGATTCAGGCAACGTCGTGCCGCCATTTTGCCGCGGCACTTTTCGATCCTGTTTGCTATCAACACTTTTTCCCGGTGACCTTTCCTCTCTATTCACTCCCTTTTCAATTGTGGATTTTACACTTAACACTTGACTTATTCATGGGTAAATTCCTTTTGTCCTGGCTACTTTTTCCCCTGCTGATCAATACATTTTCGTTGTTTTGCTGCGGGTGGCGCCAACTGCAAATAAAACGGGCAGAAGGGAAAATTGATTTGTGGTTAGTGGCCGTTCTCGGTACAGGTAAATATTTATGGGCATTGTGCAAAGTTTATGGGTCATTGAAAGTGAATAATTCATAGGCCAGGTTAATAAATTACATTTGGGCCGCTCTGCATGGGTTAATCAAGTATGCAGGGAAATTTGGTTTATGCGTTTTCAGACGTTGCGGATAAAGGACATTAAACTGGGATTGTAGGTACTTAAATTATGCATTAATTACTGTCTACCAGATTGACTTAATTTTTCAAGCAAAGTTTTTGTTAAATTTTATACATTTAATAGGTAATGAAATAGTTTTGTCATGGCATTTGCCTTTGCTTCTTTTCCTTTAACTGTTTCAACTGGAAACATAGTTTAAACCGACAAAACTTTTCGAAATTATTGGACCGCTTAGTTGCTAATTAAACTTTAATCCTGTAAAAGGAAAATGGAGCCGAATTTGTGAAGCTGTGTCATCACACCATCACATCGTAACCAGCAGCTGAGCCCGAGAAAATTGTCAACTTTTCACTTTTTAATTGCTGTGTGGCAGGCGAGCACCAGACTCTCAGAAAACAGAGAGAATGTTGCACAAAGCGAAAACTTTTTAATGATATTAGCAAAAATATTTAATATTCAAGCTCTTCGGCAGAGCGAAGGACCAAAAGGCGACTGCGAATGGCAACATTGTCACAGACTGTTTCAGTCAAGGACTTTTCCCAGGACGTGGGATTTTCGGTTGGTTTTTGATGTTTCCCCGACATGCTCTACATAGCGCCTCGTGAATTGCATTGTCCTAGGATCAAGTTAAGTCCGTAGTTGTCGTGTAATTCCAACCCCAGAAATATGTGCCACACATGGCTGGCCTTGAAATATAAAAATTTCATTGAGGAAATAATTTTAATTACCCCATGTGCAACACGCCATGTCTGACCCTCTAATCCGACAATGGCACGCACCCTGTAATTTCGCTACCTAGAATTGGGTAAGTCGGAAAAGGTTTTTTCCCCTCGAATCATTTTTCAAACAGCTGCGCAGGCGCCGCTGACTTTTTGGTTAGTGGCCGTTTCCAAAACATCCCAAATGTGTTGACAATGGTTTTATTTGCTTTTTACGCACTGCCTTCAACGAGGAGGATTTCTGGTCCAACAATTGTCAGGGTGTCAAGGAGTGGGGGATATAGTTTGCTAATGATCTTATAACTAGCCTGACTTATTATTGGGTGTGACCGGAATTCGATGACAAATGATTTGGTCTGAATACATGAGTAACTCCTAATGATGTGTGGGCATGAAGGTGAAATGAACATGGAGACAAATTATTGGAACTACACGTGTGTAACGAGGCTTTTTGAACTATCTTTAATGGCTGTTACTGTTTAGAATAAGTCACGAACCTTAGCTGACTAAACAATGTGATAAATATCTGCTCACATTATTCAGCATCATCTGTGACTACTCAAAATCGAACACTCACCTTTCAGCTAATTATAAACGGTCCCAAAACCCGAATCACATATGTTTAATTCTCACCTCTTTGGGTTATCTACACTGCGGCATCTTAATTGCAATTAGCTATGAAAATGTCCCCGGCAGCCGGGAGACATAATAAAACGAAACTTCCCTTCCCCCCCAAAAAACCCCTGGGGTTAAGGGTTAGACGCTATCTGTGCGATCTGCTAATCAGTTGACGGAGTTGACTACCAAACAAATTATCGAAATGTCGGGTATTTGCATAACCCGCTTCTGTCGCTAATAAACCCATAGTTTCGGGGGTAACAAGCTCCGAGATATAAGCCATATAAATCATTTACAATTTGTTTGGCAAGAAAGATTTTTCTCCTCGGCTTCCAACTAAATCATTTCTTTGTCTTTCCTAATTTGATTGGCGGCAGCGTTTCTGCGTGTTAAAATTCATTTGAAATACCCTGTCCTGCGATTAATCAAAACCCAGCCAGGTTTTTGTTTCTTCAAAAAAAAAGAAGATCTGGTATTTGGTCTTTTTATTTTTCATAGTGTCACTTAATTAAAAGCGAAGATAAAATGCGATACAATATGTTGAATAAAACCGTTCCTATGCATAGCTCTACATTTCGGCATAAATGAATATTTGATGCTGGAATTCCGTGTGTTTGATATTTATATATTCAAGCATTCGATTGATTGATGCGTCATGGCAGCCAAGGGGCACGCAATAGAAAAGGTAAACGAAATGCATAAATATTTGGAAGCTGCGATGGAGTTGCTTACTTGATGGAAATGTATCCCTTAGTTTGACATAAAGTTCAGCTAGTGAAATCAATCTGGCTTACTTTCTAGAAAGCCAGAAGTTGGGTGATATTGTTTCATTGTTTTTCTACGCCTAAGGAAAAGGTTGAAGAGCTGAAGTGGAGAAACGCCCCCACAGAGCATCACCTTGGGCTTTCCCCACATTAGAGTCATTTAAAATCGATTAAATATCAATGACTTCAGACCACCTGCTGTGTGTTAACCCAAAAAGAACTAAAGTGTGAATGCCTTTTCGAAGAGACAACCACAAATGTATTCAAGCTCAAGGCGTTGCCGGTTTATTGTTTATTAGAGTTTTAACTGCTGGCAGCAGTTTTTAACAAGTTTCAGTAGCGAAGCTCATAAAAGATCAACCCAACTGCATAAATTACTGCTGAGGCTATCCTAAAATTTCCTGGATTGAATGACAACCGAATGTTGACTAATGAAGCTTTAGTTGTCTTCGATATATTTGCTTTTCTTTTTTTTGGCTTTTTTGCGGTTGATTGTCAAGGGGAAGCTTTATTGATTTCTCCTTTGTACGAGTCAATGGCATGCAATTAAAATTCATATTTCATATTTTATTTGCTGACTCTCCACCCGCACAAACAAATTTTTTCGTCGTATTTGATGTGACGATTTCTTTGACGCTTTCCACTCTGTTTTATTACCAAGAGCCACATTTTTCTGTTTGGCTTTTATTTTAAGCATTCCACGTTAGCAGCACACAATGGAAATCGAATTTTACGAATTGACTCGGTCAAATAAAGGTTATTAAATGTTTTTAACGGCCAATAAAAGGAGGAACTCGAAAACGAAATATTGTGGGTGAAACGGTTTTTAATTGATGACATTGATTTTAAGGGCTTGGTTAATGTTTGCTAGGAATAAAAAACATTAAGTAGGAATTGCTGCAATTGTTTATTCAGTGATTGTTAGGCACATAAATAGGGTTTATAAAAAGTGGCTCATACTACCCAAATTTGTGTCATTCTTATTTTAACGCATACTTAAAACATATAGTAACCCTCACGTTTTCTTTTTTTTAAGCCCTCACAATTCCCCGAATATGATAACCATTTACAACTCATTTCCCTAATCAAGGTCAAAAAACGGTGGTCCTTAATAGCCAAAAAAAAATATTTGAAATTAAACATTTTTAGCAGGAACTGCGGGCAACCCTCAGGAGAATTATGCAAATGAAAACTGAACGGGGGCTCTAAACAAAAGCCCGTCCTAAACGGAACATGATGAAGGGCTCGCAACTCCTCATGTGCAAGTCCACTCCATCAAAGGCGATGAGACACATTCGGTTTGTGGAGATTTTTATTGTTGTGCCACCAAGCGCGTGGCACTCCACACAACAATAGCCGAAATTCTCCCCAGCCAGGTAGACATTTGAAAATGTATAGAGCCCCAGACAGAAGGGTGAACTCGCTACCGATTTTCGGTTGCTGGGAGGGTCGAAAATCAGGTTTGTCCCTCCGCTTAATGTTTCCGGCAATGGCAACAGAATGGATGATGGGACAGGAGCAAGCAAAGTGCTTCATCAAATATGAAATAGGCCATCCAATCAGAGGAAAAACGAAACGCCAACCAAAAATTGTCATCCGCATGGACCCTCTTTCTTGGGTGACAATGAAAAATTGAGCAGACAATGATTAATTGGTCGGCGCTCGCTTGTTTTGCTATTTAAATTGAAGCCAGGCCGGGAAAATAAAATATAATTTCGAGATGAAATTCCCGTGAAATCGGCTGAAACTCATTAAACCGCCGAGTCCTGTCGAGTATTTATGGCCTGTCAACACTTTCGCAAAAGGATGGCGAGCGGAAAATGACTTCGGCATGCAAATATCGCATTGGTTCGGTTCAGTTTCTGGACCCCAGGCTATTGTCTCAGACTGAGTCATAAATAAAGTCATTACGCACTCCTCTCTTATTTATGTATGTCTTTCTTATTTCCCTCCGCACTTCTTTTTTTTGTGCCATGCGCCAAAGGATTTTTTGCGTGCGATCCAAATATTTGCATATCACAAGAAGCCCGCTTGCAAGAAGCGCAAACACACACGGTAGCCAAGTTGAAAAAGTTCGGGGGAAGGGGGAAAATAAAGGCGTGCACACACTCCAGGTAAAGAGCAACTTGATACCTTCGCCGATGTCTGGCAACAAATTATGTGTTAACACATGGTCGGCATTTGGTGACACGCCTCCTCGAAACCTCTCGACTGGTTGCTTGGTCAAGGGAGGAGAAGAAAACCTGCACTGCTAACTGGAATTTAGCGATAATGATAACTCAGGTAGCTGATCACAAAATGGCTCAAGAGGTGCGGGGAATGGGCTGGGCTTAAATGATGATAGCCGGGATGCGTGGCCAGCTCAAGATGTTGGGTAATCATAGCTAAAGTGCTTGCACTGACAAAAACATAGGGAATATTTATTTTTCAATTTTTCCTTCCCAAGATTATTAGTTATCATAGTAAAAAAAACTATTATTACCAACCAGAATGTAATAGACACTTGTCGATGTTCCCAGCAATTATCAAAAACGTAACAATCATGGCAAATAATAACATTAGATAACTTCCACGGCTAATAGCTACCAACCAAGAAAAACAAATCGAATTATCCCCTATTTACAATAGTTGACTCTACCGACCAGAACAATTGGCCATTATAATGTCATTAACTTGCGCCCCAGAGGCGTACGAAAACTT